CCCACAGGCAAATTTTTGAGTTAATTTCGAATTTTTATTGAAAAATGTAGTATTTTCTTATGGAATTGATTTTATAATTTTTCTTGACTGTATCGAATTAATTATGACTAGATTCGAGTTGATCGGAGTTGAAAAAATCGAGAAAAAGGGCATACTACTTGATTTAAATTGGAGCAAGTCGAGGTAAGTATCTTGCTTAACCTCGAGTGGGGGAATTTTCCCTTAGGCATTGAGTCTTATGTGCAATTTGTGTAATTGAAAACCATGTACGCGAGGTGACGAGTACGTACTTGGTTATATGTGCAAATTTTATTGAGTTAAAGTCTTGAGCATATTCTGTAGTAAATTGGATAATTATTGGTGTATATTTAATCATCTACTTAGCGTGCCTAAATCCTTGTTGTTGACTATGTTGTTATATGACAATTTGATGTGATTGTTATTTGATTATTTATGAAATTTCGTGGATTTGCTGGTTTGATAATTATTGGAATTTAATTTCATTTTGGATTTTTCCCTCTGCAAACAATTAATTAAATGAGCTTAAGAAGAGGTGTTTATATAATTATTAGAAATTTGATTTTTATGAAGACTTTGTTTTATGTTGAGTAATTTTTTATCTCCATTGATTGTTTTTGGGTTGTTGTACGCATTGTGTGGAGTTTTTGGCTATTTGTTGTGAAATTAATTGACTTGGTTGTAGCTTTGGAATTTGGTTGTGGCCATTGGGCAAATTGTGATATGAATTGATTTTTATTATGTTGCTGCGATAATTTTCCGTGTAAATTGTTGTGTTGTGTGAGTTGTTATTTTGGGAAGATAAGGGTGGCATTTCACCGTTGATATTATGTGATTATAAGTGTGGCATTTCACTATTGTTGTGTTTGTTGGAATATTGTCTGGGCGGAGCGATAAGGGTGGCTATAAGAGCGATAAGGGTGGCTATTGATATTGTCTGGGCGGAGCGATAAGGGTGGTTATAGGAGCGATAAAGGTGGCAATAGGAGCGATAAGGGTGGCTATTGATATTGTCTGGGCGGAGAGATAAGGGTGACTATAGGAGTGATAAGGGTGGCAATAGGAACGATAAGGGTGGCTATTGTCAGGGACGATGTGTGATGATGCGGGGTTGTGGTGTTGATGATTTTTATGTGATGTTGTGATTTTTCTTATGTCTATATTTATGCTTTGTGCAATTGGTCTTGTTGATAGTAAATTGATAACAATCTGTTTTATGTTGAAATTGAGAGCCTGTGGCTATTACCAGGCGGATTATAAAATGCAATGTGGGCACGAGGTGTCGTGAGTAAATAATAAGAATATTTGGCACGTGACTGTGTAGTTGTGATATGAAATGTGTGCACGAGGTGTTGTGATGAAATGATAATGATAATTGGTACGCGAATTGTCCGTGCAGTTGTGATATGAAATGAGGGCACGAGATGCCGGAAAAATATGATGATTTAATTATGGGCACGAGGTACCGTGAAAATATGAAAATGGGCTAAGACCCGTGTTTACGAAAAATATGAAAATGGGATGAGACCCGTATTTTTATGATTATGAAATGAGGTGTCACATGGTGACTTTTTATTTGAAAAAATTATATTCACAATATTTATTTGGAAGTATTTTTACTTAGAAAGTATTATAGGAAAGAATTGTACTGGAAAAATATTTATTTGAGGAAATTATATTTGAAAAGATTTATTGAAAGAATTATATTTGACAAATAATTATTTGAGAAAATTATATTTGAAAGAGAATTATTTGGAAGAATTATATGTGAAAGACATTTATTTGAAGTACTTGATTTAATTGGGTGTAATTGTAATTGTACTTATTAATTGTTGAGCGATATTAATGGTATTCTTGTTGTCTGTTGTGCATATCAGTGGTTGTTTCATGTTGCCCTATTGTTATTTATTTCCTATTATTTTGTATATTATATTGCACAGGTTATTAGACTAGTGAGTGTCTTGATTGTACCTCATCTCTACTCCATTGAGGTTAGTCTTGATACTTACTAGGTACCGACCGTGGCGTACTCATACTACACTTCTGCACATTTTTGTGCAGAGCCAGGTATTGAAGACAACGGACTTGAGCAGAGTTAAAGCGGGATCGTAAGGATTCAAGGTAGAGCTGCTTGATCGTCGCAGTCCCTTGGAGTCTTTTTATTTTATTGTACTGTTAACTTATAATCAAACAGTATTGTATATTCGGTCCTCGTGATCATTCTACGTATTCAGTTAGAGTTCGTGACTCAGTACTACCAGTCTTGGGAGGTTGTATTTTGTAATTATTTCCGATGTTAGTTTTTTAAAAAATGGCTTGAAAAGGTAATTAAAATCGGCTTACCTAGTCTTAGAGACTAGGTGTCATCACGACGCCTGTGGTAGGATTTTGGGTCGTGACACTATCTCTTCCTACTCTATCTCCTCCTGACAATTCCCGTTATTCGAGTCCATCCTCGTCGCATTCATCTTTTGCCCGACCTCTGCCACCCTTTAAACTCTCTATAATTTACCTCATTCATCAACCAAATCCATCCCAACCTCTTCGCCACCACTGTTAGTGTATCAACTGGGCACCCTGAACCCAAAATCAACCAATTCGATGCCCCCCTACCTACCACCATTGTTCCTCCCGTTAAGCACCAAGCAGAACCACTCCTGCCGCACAATCCTTCCTCTCCCAATCGCATAGTTACTCGTTCACAGAATAACATTCAAAAACCAAAAAAGCTTTTTGACTACTTCACTCACTTGGAACCTACACTCGTACCCCACACTTTCAAACAAGCCCAAAAACATCCGGAGTGGAGAGCTGCAATGAAAAATGAATTTGATGCTTTACTGAATAACCACACTTGGGAACTTGTTCCAAATGATCCCTCTAAGAATTTTATTTCATGTAAGTGGCTTTTCAGGATTAAGAGGAAAGCAGATGGTTCTGTTGATCGCTACAAAGCGAGACTGGTTGCGAAGAGATTTACTCAGAGGCCGGGTGTCGACTTTCACTCCACTTTCAGTCTAGTGGTCAAACCCACCACTGTGCGAATCATACCTGTTGTTGCCCTTCGTTTTCACTGGCCTCTTCGTCAGCTCGATATCAACAATGTATTTCTTCAAGGTGACCTTGAAGAAGAGGTCTACATGACGCAACCTCCGGGTTTTGCTTGTGGTAATAATCCGACTCATGTTTGTAAGTTGCGCAAGGGAATTTATGGCTTGAAGCAAACACCTCGGGCTTGGTATAATGCACTCAAAGGCCATCTTTCCTACATGGGATTTGTCAAGACTGAATCTGACAACTCCTTATTCACTCGGCATAGCAACGCTGGTTTCATGTTTATTTTGGTATATGTTGATGATATCATAGTTACTGGCAGCAACTCTATCACTGTGAATGAGGTTATATCTTCCCTTGCCTCTCGTTTTTCAATTAAAGATTTAGGAAATCTTAATTATTTTCTTGGTGTTGAGGTGGTTCGGAGTTCTGATGATATTATTCTCTCTCAAGCTAATTATGTTAATGAGATCCTGAATGATGAATTGATGGCTGATTGTAAGAGCGCTAACACACCAATGAGTGCCTCTGCGTTGCTAAAACTCTGATGGGGCTCCGCTAACAAATGCAACTCGCTATCGTTGAGTCCTAGGCAGACTTCAATATCTGTCTTTTACAAGGCCGGATATTTCTTATGCAGTCAGTAAATTGTCCCAGTTTATGCAATCGCCATCTGATCTTCATTGGAAATCAGTGAAACGTGTTCTCAGGTACCTTCGTGGTACAATTCAGTTTGGCCTGTGTGTGTCCCCGAACATTGATTTCAATCTGCACGTGTATTCTGATGCCGACTGGGCTGGAGATCTCACTGACAAATCCTCCACGTCTCGTTATATTCTGTTCCTTGACCGAAACCCTATCAGTTGGTCTTCAAAAAAGCAAAAAACTGCCGCTCGCTCGTCAACTGAAGCCGAATATAGAGCTGTTGCCAATGCTCTTGCCGAACTGTTGTGGGTGAGAAACCTATTGCTTGAAATGCGGCTTCCTATCAGAGATACCCCGACAATCTATTGTGACAACATTGGTGTCACTTATCTAAGCGAGAATCCGGGCCTACATAGTCGCATGAAGCATGTCGAGGTGGACTTTCATTTTGTGTGCAACCATGTTGAACGCCAACCATGTTGAACGCAAGGCGGTTCGAGTTGTTCATGTTCATTCAACTGACCAACTAGTTGATACGTTTACTAAAGCACTTGCCAAACCAGCCTTTGATCGCAATCTGTTCAAGTTAGCCTTAGTGACACATAGTCTAACTTGAGGGGGCATATCAGACCAACAGTCTCTGTTACTAGTAGTTATCAATTTGTTCTTAGTATTTATCTCTTTAGATTAGATTGCATTTATCTTCTAGATTAGATGATATCATAGTTAGTTCTTCAAAGCTATCTATTTGATTTAGATAGGATTCTTTAGTTATTTAGTTTACATAAAACTCTAGAAAGTTGGTTGCTGTAACTTGTATTTAAACTATGCATTCAATAAGAGATACACCTTTCCATCATCTATTCAAGTGTTCATAGATGCATACCCTAAAAGTAGCATTTGAGCACTAAATCTCTTCTTTTTTTTTTTAATACAAAAGAATTCCCATTTGGATCATCTCTAGAGAATAACTGCTTCATTTCTAAACCTAATTTATATTTGGAGCTTTCAACTCAGTTCAGACTTACTTTGAACAGTTTATAGTAAAGTTTAAGTATTTATCTTGTTTTTTAATAACCGAAAAATCCCCGAGGCCCGGTAGCGCACAGTTCGAAACTCGGTGGATATTTGGCGTCCCTCTGTCCTTCACCACTTAAATATCATAATTTTGTCTTTGGCAAGGTTCGAACTCATTACATGCTCTAACCAACAAATCATACCTTGCGTTCTTACCACTAACCAACGTATCACGCAGTATATTCATTACTATTGTGAGCAAGCTGTTGAATTTACCAATATATCCATTATCCCATTTCCATGTAAAGTTCAGAATACAAAGTACAAACCAACATTTTAATTGAGACAAAAAAATGAAGTACATTGAAGAATAACCAAACAGAGAACAAATTAGATTACAAGATTAATACACCTCTTCTAACCTAGATTAGACTTAGCTTCAAAAAGATTTACAGCTCTATCGTAGGAAGACTGGACTAATTGGCATTGTAAATGCAACCTCTGGGGACTATAGCTTAGACAATTTTAGTATAATGGTTACATATGCCTTAAGTATCATGCCAAAAGTGGTGCTTCAATATTCTCTGCATTTTCGTCGAAGGTCTTCTTTGAGGGAACCTCTACTTTAAGCATGCAAGCATAATAAAGCGAAACCATCTGGTGGAATTTGTGCAAGTTAAAGCTTTCACAAGAACAGTGACATATGAAAAAGTCGCGGAAAGAAAGAAATAAAACAGCTTACCATGCATAAAGAAGCACAAAGTATACTAAATCCTTTGCAGTTAAAAGGTGCATCACGAGACAAAAACCACGCTGAAAGAACGTTATGTCAGTGATTAAACACGGTCGATTAAGATGTCTCTAAATTTTTACATTAAGCGCACAGAAGATGACTTACATGTCAATGGACTCATCACAATAGGAGATAACAAACTCGCGACTGATTGAACGCCAGCAACAAATCCCTGTGCTTTGCCCTGTAATAAGGAATGAGAAGTTAGCAGGTGATTATAAAAGGAGAAATAGGCGAAAATGGGATTGCTTCAATATAATGTCTTTTAGAATTCAGCTTACTAGCTAGTTACAACTATAAGTAATTAGGTTGAAACTTTCCCATAAATCCTTAAGATAGAGATTTCGTTAAGGCAAATCTCAGACAGAAGATGCTGATTTGAGTTAGTCCAGAATTTGAATTAAGCATCTTTTCACCTCTTGATTTAAAAACTGAAGCAAGTCATTTTATTAGCTTTTCTTTTCTAGGACTTTGGCATGTATTGGGCAGAAATGCATGAAGAAGACTTTGCTAAAGCGAATCCCACGATTTCACTAACCTGATCTGCTGAAAGTGCCGATTTGGATATAACAGCATAAGTCTGTCAAGAAGTAAAAAGGATAAGGGATTATTAAGAATAAAATCAACAAGTATTAGGCTATTCAACATAATGCGAAATCATGGACAAAAGTTTGGAGAAATTACTCACAGAGGGTTTAACAAGGATGTAGATGACCCCAAAAGAAGCACTTAAATATGGCACCTGTGTTGGCAAAGGCAGTATACAATACTTTATGCTTTGGAATTAACAAGACAAAAAAAGGTTATAGAAACAGTTAAAATTTTGGGGAAGGGGAGGGGACAAAAATGAGAACAGCAACGGATGTAGGGGGTTAGGGACGGGTTCAATTGAACCCATAACTTTCAACGAGGAGACCATAGAGTTTAAATCTTGGATACGCCTCTGAATGAGAATGAAGCTTTTATCATATGCAATTAGCTACTCACACGGAACAGTTTGGTCTACTAGTGTATTTGAAAAATGCCACTTCATTTTAATCTCACAAAAAAAGGAGACCATATGATTTATGAATTACCAAAGTAAAAATATCGGCATCTTTCATGTCTTTTTCTTCTTTTCTCGTCAAAAACAATTTGCTGAGTGTAGAAACTCTACTAAAGTGATATCCTTTTATTCATAGATTGCTATTATTATGTAGAGTTTAACTGTTTTCTTGGTTTCGGTCTTATTTTTATCTTGTTGTTATTCCTACTTGTTGCCATTACTTTTTTCATCCGTTCTCCAGCCGAGGGTCTATCGGAAACAGCCTCTCTGTCCTTCCAGGGTAGGAGTAAGGTTGCGTACATCTTACCCTCCCCAGACCCCAATTGTGAGAAATTCTAAGTTTGTTGTTGTGGTTGTTGTAGAAACTCTACTAAAGAAAAGAGAATTTTTGTTCCAGGTCATTATTTTCTCATTTTTAAGAGTCGGTATTCTGTTTTCAAACACATCTGCCCCAAATAATTAGTAACATACCCAAGGTGCCCATGCTAATCCATAAAGCATTGCCTGCAAAACAAAGCGCAATGTGAGGTTATTTTTCCTTTAGATTAAGTGCTTGCTTTTGTATAAACATTGATCAAGGTGACTTACATAGGCTATTGAAGAAAGCAAAGCCATGCAAAGTATCACTTTCTCCCCAAACAGAGGATTGATAAGAGGAAGCACCAGAATCTGAAAAAATGTAAGTACAAAGTTAAGCACAAATTAGAAATTTCACATAATGAAAACTAGAGTTTATAGAGGATACACAATGAATTAGCCAAAAATGCAGCAAACAAAGATAAGAATCACAGAAGAGAGATCTATGAGCTATTTAACTTGAGCATGGAATGGACATTGTAATGTTACTTTCATTATATCTTTGTGTGTATTAAGCTATGTGATTTCACCACTATTTAGAATATATATCTATTTAGGTACATATGTGTAAAGACATGTCTGGATATCGGAAACACTTGAACATCGCAAGAAACTTTTCAAAATTCTGAGTACCTGTGAGACTATAGAACCTACTCCCACCATCATCAAGATTTCTGAGAACTGATTCTTATTGAAGCCAAAAGCTGATTTCAGATAGTACTGCACAAATAAAAATAACGTGCATGAGTTTTCAATCATTACAGACAGAGGCGGATCCAGGATTTGAGGCTTATGGGTTCCTACCGTAATTTTAAATTAATATGCAATAATATCTAGGTTCACAGTTAGATATTTACAAATATTTAGTGAATTTCTTAATATAAATACAAGGTCTACGCAAAAGTTACTGGGTTCCCGAGAATCCGTAGTCAATGCTCTAGGTCCGCCCCTGATTACAGATAAAGTCGAAATTCACTCTGTAATCCCTTGAAAAGGCAACAAGAACTCATCACTATACTCATGTTTTGATGATTCTGAAGGATGGTATCAATGAGGGAATAGGAACATTGTTTGATTGAAAGAAGCAGGTGACATACCAGTAAAACGCTGCTGATGCCGGACATTCCCAACTCATAGAAGAAAGAAACGAGAGAAATGCACTTCAGTGTTGGACTGAGGAGAACAATAAATGTCATTTAGAAAACATGAGGAAGTGATTCTGCAACTAGATAACACCAATAGTACTGGGAATTATTTGTGCACTCCAAATCGACATGCGGTAGCAGAACCTGAAACGTAATGGAAGACACGTGCGAAATTACCTGCTAGTGACAATATTTGCAGCATATCTCATCGAGTTATATCGTTCCTGAACAACCTTCAATGCCTTGCTCTTTACTGTCGAACTTTGGTTCACCTCTGTTTTTGGACTTACAGTCTCTTCTAGAAACAGTATCATATAAACAGGAACAAAGATCAAGAGGCCTATTGAAACCTGAATGGGAAAGTTCATTAGGAGAGCGGCGATATATAAGAAAAGTAGAAATTATGGCTCACAAAATTGGTCAAGCTATGAACCAACATGCCTGAAAAATGTAGCCCACAGGAAGAAAACGGGCTAGGACATTCCCCATAACATGGGATGCAGAAAAAAGTCCCGTAATCCAACTAAAAACTGCAGCTCTACTACTCTCGTCAACAACATCAGCCTGAAAAAGCAAAACAAAAAATGCAAGTTAGATTCTTGATAAATTAGGGCAGCTTTAATTCTGTCGGCAAAATTACCAGATGAAAGTCCTACCGCATAAGCAACAGAGATGCAGAAAATGCTCCCTTGGCTTATGATATAAGAAACCGTCCGCAGGACATAATAAGCATAGACAAATCCCTTTGACTTATTTATGGTGAGTAAACCTGGAAGGTTAAAAAGAGCAGAGAAACAGAAAGAAGGAGAATTAATAACGCATAATAGCCGATAAGCCATAGCATGAAACTGCCAGTCGTACATAGAACAGTGACTCCAAATCTATATAGATACTACTATATTATCTAAAGATGATTTCTGGATAACATAAAAAAAGCACTACATACCAAAAGGAATAATTGTTGTAGATAGGGTGAGGAGAAGAAGCGGTTTACGCCCATACTCATCTGAAAGCTGGCCTAGGATAGGAAGGACAAGCATCTTGAATATTCCAACAACCTGCATTTGCAGAACATTCATTAAAGTTGGAGAGTAGTGAAAGCCACTGGGTGAGTGCTGCGCTTTCTATAGAAAATTTACACTGCCGGTTACAGAAAACCTTCAACCAGAATAAACCAAACTGAAGTTAGCTAGTCCCACTTCACCATCCTTGTGGCAACAAATTATTGAATATCCCCAATACGGAAATTCAACTTTACTTTTGAAGGGAACTAATTCTGCCCGCCTTCTTAACCATAGGCATAATGTTAGCATGTTCAACAACTTGTATTTCTAAATTCTAACTCCTAAAATCTATATCATTAGAATGACTGTAAACATAGGCTAAAAGCCAGAAGCCAAATTGAACTTCCAGCGTCTATAAACTATACAAATGAATATTTAATATAAAGATCAAAGTACTCCAAATGCTTCCGAGGATATCTACATAAGATTTAACTCCATGAGTAGAGCTGAAATTTCGTCATTACGAAGATATTTCAGCACATCTAAGAAGTTGGAAATAAGTACCTAGAGTGGAACTTTTTTGCCAAAATCCACAGCTGAAAAAGAAACAGGTTACGTCACAGTTCCTTAAATGTAAGCAGTACATGTTAAATGTCGACTTATACAATTTAGCTCACTCCCTTTTCTATTTGTCGAAATGAAAGTCTATCTTGATAATCTAGAGTTATACATTCCTCAAAAATCACAATAGTATACTTCTATTTAAGTACTGACACAAAAAAGTGGTAGCTGAATAGTTCAATTCTGAAGATGATCATTACCACCACCACCACTACACACATTACTGCTCCATAGTAATAATAACATCTAAATGAATAACTATTTTCAAAATATCCACTAATGAAACAAGTCTAGTACATAACAAATTCCATCATTCAGTGCAGTCCAGTACAGAGTTCAACTTCTTATTTTTTAATCAGTCCTATTTCCAAACACAAATCATAGAATCAAAGTGTTGAAGATGTAATTAAATAAATAAAAGTGTATTATCTCACGCTATGCGCAGGGTCCGGTTAAGGTCCGGACTACCAGAGGTCCATTCAAGGCTCCCTTCTCAAGATTCATTAAAGAAAAAAAAAACACAAAAGAAGATACTATGCACCCAATAAAAGACCAGAAGAAGCAAAAGGGGAAGATTACATACTGTTTGTTGAACACCGTTGATGTAAATGGCTTCAGAACAAGTGGAATTGCCAGGACAAAGAGCACTAGTTGTAACATCAACAAGCACTGAAACTGTCATCTCTTCAGCAATCCAGTGTATACATAGTGGCAACAACAAATGCAACAAAGGCTTCAATTTCTTCATACTCTCAAATCCCATCTTCTTCTTTTTCTTTAATTTCAGCTCCCTCAATCTCAACACTTCAAGAAACTACACATTAAATTAGGGGGTAACTAATTTCTGTTATATAAAGACAAGATACTGTAATTTTTAATTACTTTATCAAAAATGGTATCAGGGTATGACACAAGTCATGCTGTTACAGATTGGGTATCAGATTGACTTGCTGTAGCTTCAAGGAGTTGTACATGGTGCTTTAGAAGTAGTACGTCTGCGGATAAAACTCTTACCTGTCCGAGAGATTAAAGGTGCACGGAGTTTGCACGTGTGGCCATTGGTTGAGCGTGTGTTCTGCTAAGGTATTGTGTCCAAGGTGGACCATTTTTGCAATAAATAATTGAATTAAAAGAGCATTGGATCGGGAGAGTGAGAAAGTGACAAAAGTAGAAAGTGATAGTAGCGTGTTTAATTGTTTCTGGCATTAGTTTGGCTGCCCCATCCCTTTATTTTATTTATTTATTTTTTGAAAAATGTATATTAGCGAATTAATAATAGTATTAGATTTCCTATACTCATGTAAATGGTTGAAGTCGGCCTGCCTCTAAATCTAAATTGATCTAGCCATAGAATAGTGTTTTGATGCAAATTTTAAGTTTTAATGCCTAAATATTTATTTCTGTCTTTGAAAAGTTAGAAAAGTGAATTTTATGGACTTAAAAATTACTTATAAAATAATTATATATAAATTTTTATGATAAGCATTAAGTTATTAATATTAACCTGATAAAAACATCGACTAAACTATTACTAGTATCACAAATCAACTACAATGATGGTGTCAGAAATTTGTACGTACCTTAAATCTTTCTCAAATTCTTTTTTAAAAAAATACCAAAATCTCTCCCTCGTGTCCTAAATCTCTGTTCTCTTCTTTTTTGGCCCAAAGATAAACGAAGAGGCGCAACTACAGTCAAAAACATTTTATCCCAATGATGAAGCCAATGGTTCAAAAGACGGTTAACTGCTATTGTCCTGGCCTATAATATCTGCTCTCTTTTTCTTTTTCTTTCCTTCTCTGCCTTAAGATAAAATGAAAGGACCCGAAAACGACAAATTTTTAAAAAAATAGGAAAAATAGCACGGACTAATCAGTTTTCGAATTGGTAATTAAAAAATAATCATCATTTGCAAAGTCATTAAAAAATAGTCATTATTTTGCTGCAACATGAAAAGTTTTAATATAATATACTGAAGATTGATGCACATATGTATGAACTTACAACATATTATGCTGGAACTTCAACACCCGAAAAGTTCCAGCATAATATACTGGAGATTGGAGCACCTGTGTATGAACTTCCAGCATATTATGCAGGAACTCCAGTATATTATGCTGGAATATTTTTCGGATTTTGAACAGTGTTTTCGTTCAGATTTATCTTCACATGAAAAATGGCTAAATTTTGATTACTTTTGAAACTGTGACTATTTTCAATTACTACTTATAAATCTGGCTATTTTTGAATTTCACCCTAAAAATTATTCACATGCTAAACTTTTAATATTTTGTAAGAATAAGTCTTAGATCGTCTAAAAAGTGAATTAAGTAATTGAAGCATACTTCTATATGCACTTTTTATTATTGGATAAGCTACTAGATAATTATTATTGGATAAGCTACCAGATAAATCACTAAGCGTTATGGTGGGGCAAATATGATTCCTTCACCTTTAACTAGAAGTCACGAGTTCGAAATCGGGTTACAAAAAAATACCGGGACGAAAGTTTCCCCTTTAAGGAACTTTTTAAAAATAGGTCAAATATAGATAAGATTCATATTATCCATTTGAAAAATGGATAATCAATGAGTTTAACTTTTACATTTACAAATACTTAAATTGGGGGTTCCTTAAGTTTGGGAGAGTAGGAATTCTTCCAAAAGTGATTATATTTAAGAAGCTATGGATAATATGGATATCCCGTTATCCGTCATATCCAGATTATCCGCCAGTTAACCTATTTTTTAATTGTATTAAATATGGGTCAGATCAAATATTTTATCCATTTTTACATTATTCGTGAAGGATTGAAATGCCCCAAGAATAATTTAGGCACAAGCAAAAATTTCAACAAAGACTATATAGAAGAAATTTATTAAACTAGGGAGAGAACGTGGTAGGAGGCTTTTTCACAACTCATAAACTCTTGAATCTCTCTACATCATAGTTACCTCTCTACAATAGAAAATATGTAGTAGTACCCATATTTATAATACTACAAACCAAATTTGACTAGAATTTAGCAAAACCTATTCCAATATGAATTTGGTATATAAAACCTAACTAGACATGAATTAAGTAAATTAGTAAATACCAAATCCTAGATAACTTAGGAATACTAATTAATCTTGGTTTAGTTTCCAATCCCCCCCCCCCTCCCGAAACCAAGATCTTCAAACTTGAGCATGCCATGAATAACATCAAGTATTGTAGAAGTCAAGTACCTTAGACTCTTCACTAATTTCCTAAAATATGTTGCATCTACAAAGTCGTGAGTATCATCTTTAATTAACTTCAATTTCTCTTCAATATTGGCCATATATGATTTGGCTTTAGCCATGGTAAATCCCTTCAAAATATCATCAACATATTTTTTCTTTACTTTGAAATCATCTGCTTTGTAGTTGGACTTGTACAACCATTCAGCTCCAATTTGCCATTCTATAGGTTGTAGGGTAGTGCCACCAATAAATATTTTGCCATGCTTCTTGAAACATGCAATCTCGAACAATGACATGAAATTGATTGTATCTTCAATATCTATAATCATGTGTTGTTCTGGTTCTAAATCCCAAGCTATTTCTGCCTCAATCTTGGGTAGATTGTTATAAACTTTCTCTTGATGAACTATCTTGCTTCTTTCATTACTAGGTTATCTTCAATACTATCAAATAATTTTTCTGGTGAAACACCAATCTCTTTTGTACAGGCATTCCTTGCAACCAAATCGTCATTTCTAACAATCACAGAAATTTTTGGCAAATCAATTTGAATATTATTTGACTTCTCTCCGCTTTCAGTGGAAACTCTATCAAACAAAAATTACATGTACCTTCTCTTATTTTCTCCTCTATTTCTGAATTTTGGCCTTATTGATATATTTCTGCCAGATTGTAACGACCCGACCGGTCATTTCGAGAGTTATAGCCCCATTTTCCCTATTTCTATTTCTTTATGTGTTATTCAACTGGATTATATTATACCGGGTTAGTTGGTTCGGGTTTGAGTGGTTTCAGAGTGGAATGAGACACTTAGTCTCTAAAGTAGAAGCTTAAGTTGGAAAAAGTCAACTGGATGTTGACCCATGTGTAAACGATCTCGGATTTGAATTGTGATGGTTCTGTTAGATACGTTAGGTGATTTTGGACTTAGGAGTGCATCCAGAATGTGATTTGGAGGTCCGTAGTAGAATTAGGCTTGAATTAGCGAAAGTTAGAAATTTGGCGATTTTGGTCGGCAATGGAAAATTTGATATCGGGTCGGAATGGAATTTCGGAAGTTGGAGTAGGTTCGTAGTGTCATTTGTGATGTGTGTGCAAACTTTGAGGTCATTCGGTCGTAGTTTGGTTGGTTTCGGCATCGGTTGTCGAATTTGGAAATTTAGAAGTTCTTAGGCTTGAATCCGAGGGTTAATCGGTGATTTGAAATTGCTTTGAGTGATTCGAAGGTTCGACTAAGTTTGTATGTTGATATATGACTTATTGGTATTTTTGGTTGAGGTCCCGAGGGCCTCGGGGTGATTCCGGGTGGTTAACGGATTTGTTGAAGTTGGAAAATGCAGCTGAAGATGTTGCTACTAATATTTCCGCTCCTGCGGAAGGAGGAGTCGCAGATGCGAGGACGCATGTGCGTTTGGGGTAGCCGCAGATGCGGAAATGGAAGGCCAAGGCTGGGAACACAGGTGCGAAGGATTGGCTGCATTTGCGGGCCTGCAGATGCGGGGCCTTGAGCGCAAATGCAGAAAGGAAGAGTTGAGCCGGTTCCGCAGAAGCGGAAGTGTTGCGCAGGTGCGCGCCCGCAGGTGCAGAATCTGGGGCGCAGGTGCGGAATTTGAGGACTTAAGTGGTTCTCGCATGTGCAAGGATTCGACCGCAGGTGCAGTTCTGCAGGAGCGGACATTTGGCCGCAAGTGCGAATGTGCTGGGCAGAAAAGCCCCAGTTCGTGGTTTTGTCTTCATTTTTCAATTTTGGATTTGAGAAACTAGGGAGAGAGCCGATTTTTCGAAGGTTTTCAAGAAGAAACATTGTGGTAAGTGATCCTAACCCATAATGGTATAAATTTCGTGAATCTATGGCTTTGTTCATCATTAATTAGTAGGATTTTGGAGTGAAAATGAGGGGTTAGGGCTTGGGATTTTGGAGAATTTAAACTAAGGATTTGAGGGCCAAACGATTTCGGATTTTGATGAATTTTGTATGTATGGACTCGTGAGTGAATGGGCTTTCTAGTTTTGTAAATTTTTTGGATTTTGAGACGTGGGCCTGGGGGCCGGGTTTGAGCCAATTTTGGGTTTGGGGCTAATTTAATAGTTTTTCTTGTGGAATTC